TATATATATATATATAATTTAGTAATCGTGTTACATAAAGTTTACAGTCTAATGTAAATAACTGAATGAACAGATTCAGCTTTAAATCATGAATAAATATTATTTACAGCACCCACATAAAATGAATAACCACAAATCATTTCATAAGATCCCCATTTAAAATCTTCAGCACTTAAATCAAAATTACATCATCAAAATGTACATTTTGTTGTTAGTCGTTGATTGACTGCCTTTGTGCTTATTTGGGAAGCAGTAAGCAATTCCCATTATGGCGGACAAAAATAAACACAAAAAGTTTGACAAAACTTGATCGTAGATTGTAAAAGGGACAAAAAAAAAAAAGGACAAAGCTCTTGATCTTAAATTCTATAAAAATACATCATGTCATGGCGGTGATGATAAAAGTTATTACCATTAGAACGTGGAATGTTTGTCAGCTAGGGTGCAGTTCCAATCTTCTCTCACAAATAGGTTTCTGTAGCTGTTTAATGATCAAAGCAATAAAATGCTAATCACAGCAGCCTCTCCCTTAAGTGTTCATGATGTAGTAGTATCTTAAAAAAATTAGAAAGTTACATAATTCCCACAAGAGGTCGTAAATCGACCAAGTGCAAAGTCAAGTATCCACAAGCCTGGAACATTTTTCTATATGTCATCATGAGCCACTGCGTATATCAGGGGGCCTAAGCTGGCGCTCCCCTTCAGCCATGAAGATTTGCATTGCCCTGTGAAGCATGTGAACTCCTAGACGCCGTCGGCGGGTAAGTGCCCAATTCTGTGCTTGTCCATAATAAACCCCCTTTTTTTGGTTGGTTAACATTTTTAAACCTAAAAGAAAAAAAAAAAGTAGAAAAAAAAGTTAGAAAGATTATGTTGCTGTCGCAGCCATTTTGTTATATTTGCACACATGTTAAAATGCACATTTTAAGCCTCAAGAGTGCTTAAAAGCAGATACCCTATAGAATAAAATTATGGCATTTGCCTTTTTTTTTAATGCTACTGTTTAATCACATCTATATATTTGGTAAATAAAATACTTAAATTTATTTTAGTGCACACAAACACAATATAATACCTAATGTTTATGGTAAAATATAAAAGTTTAAGGTGCATCCAGTAAATAGATGATAAACATGTAAAGCCTCAAAATTGCTCACACTGAAACGGCTTTAAAATGGTCTGTAGGTGACGCTTTAAAAGCTTTTGCATCTGATCAATTTAGAATTAAGTGAATAATGGTCCTAGAATTACTACTCTCACACGGCATCCACTGTGATACGATTTCCATATGCATGTGCAACAAACAAGTTTTCAGTCATATGTGTACATGGGTGAGGGGTATTTGGGCTTTTTAAATGCAGGCCCCCTCTGTCAAAAGATTTCCAATACCAATTCCAATACAACTTTATTGCTATTACATGGGGGGCTAAGAAGCCCCCTATGGGATAGCCAATTTACATGACAGGTCCTCTTTATGGAGACATCAGGGGTCTCCAAGACCCCTAATGTCACCTAGGGACCTCCAGAGAAGCTGATGAAGCAGAGATCGGCTTCATCAGCTTCTCTATGCTGGAGAGTGACACTGAATGCAGGAAGTGATGCAATATACATCACTTCCTGCATTCGGGGACTGAGAGGAGATCAAAGGGAGTTCCTGTACTGAACTCCCTTTGATCTCCTGTCACTGAGCCAAGCCGGTCCCGGCCGCATCGGGCACAGCGGATCTCGGGACCGGCAACGGCAGTGACAGCTCCTGATACAAGCAAACGAGCGTCTCTCGAGACGCTCGATCGCTTGACTATAAAGCTCCCGGCTGGCCGTGTAATTACAACGGCCGGCAAGATGCTCGTCGGACTCCACTGTCTGCTCGTCACAGACGAGCGGATTTTTGAGCCCTGTGTGTGTGTATATATATATATATATATATATATATATATACACATA